TGCTCTTTCAATCATTTCAATTACAGTTGGAAGTACGGATATTGGTCTATAGTCATCCATATTCGTTCTGTCACCTTGTTTGAAGAGGGCAATCACCTTCGCACACTTCTAATGAGAAGGAAATTTACCAATCTTCAAGGAATGATTAATGATATAAGTTAACGGAGGGGCAATGACCCATGCTGCGTCACGTAAAAGTCGAGCACCGATCTTGTCTAGACCAATAGCTTTGTTTGCTTTCATCTTGCTTAATCCCTTATGGACAAACATTTCTGATATCGGATTCAGTTTGAAGTCATAAGCACTAGTAACATCTTTCGATACCGCAAACGATGTATTGCGGAACGCCTCTGCAAGATATCTTCCAATGTTCGTGAAATTTTGATTAAGATGCTCTGCAATATCAATAGAACTAGTGTTGACTTTTCTATTAGAGAAAATGGCGTTGGTATCCATATTATTCGATGGTAAAGTTTGCTTGATCGCCTTCCATATCGAAGAGCTTTCGTTCTTTGCATCTTTAATTTGCTTACAATAGTACCGTGATTTGAGAGATCTCTCTTCCCGATTTGCAAAATTTCCCAATTTGCAATACATTCCCCAATGATACTGAGAGTTTGAGGATAATGCCTTTCTTCGACGAAAGTCACGATCGCGTCTCACTTCCAAAAGTTTGTCAGAAACCCAAGGGGTTGGCATTCCTTTAACGTACCTTGATTTAAGAGGTGCGTGATGATCCACACAATCTTAGAGAGCTTCTCCCAAAGGAACACAGTATCGTCAATGTCACCGACTCCCTCAGTTATGCTCCATGAAACTTGTTTTAGGTCATTAATGAATGCTTTCTCCTCAAAGCTTTTGAAAGACCGATATTCAAAGACCTTTGGCGGTAGTTTCTTAACGCCTCCTTTCATCACACAAAAGATTGCACTGGAATCACTAATGCTCGAGTTTAAAACATCGCACTGGACTATTTTGTGATTGTTATTAACCAGAAACAAGTCTATTGTACTTTTGGATGTCTCCGTGACTCTGGTGGGCCTGGAAATTATCTGTGTTAAATTGAATGAAAAAGTGCAAATTCGTCCAACCTGCAACGTAAGGGATTTTTTTTTGCTGAATAATCAACATAAAAATCACCAAGGATGATTGTTTCAACTTTATCCAAGTCTGTATTATCCAAAATACGTGTCAGAGCTTTCACAAAATCTTCAAAGTTCAAATAGCCTGGTCTACAGACGACATCGACAGCCATGGGCTTGCAGAACCGTCTGTTAATTTCGATCCAAAGACATTCGAAGTTATCTTCCACAAAGTTAGCTTGGCGAATAAATGGGATACCGTCTCTAACATAAATAAGAACACCACTGCAAGCTTTCGACGAATTCTGTCTGTCTTTTCGCACAATTGAGTATCCCATGATAGAAATTTCGCTATCGCTGATTTCAGATGTAAGCCAAGTTTCAAATAAAGCCAAAATATCGAAGGAATATTTTTCAATCAGTTCCTTCACACTGTCTAGTTTGTTGAAAGGGCGGTTGACATTCAAGTGGTCGTCTTTAAATCCTCGCAGCGTACGTATTTCTGGATTATTTGTTTCGTGAAGATTAGAACAACTTCAATGAGAATCATCATCCACATCAGGCAAGTGTAAGGGGAGAGAGCAAATGCATATTGTACAAATCCAATTCGCCGAGGGGTCAGATACAATAACGAAGTATTCAAATTTCTTCGTGCCGATACATTTAACATGATACCAGTTATCACAGTCGTCACACGGAATCGCCTTTTTGGTTGTTCCTACATCCCTTGTTACACAGAAAGCATGGCTCTTTAACAGAACCAGGATTTCGGTTGACGTCTCCAGATAGCAATATCAAAGATGCACATAGTGATGCGTTCAGCATGTGAAGTCCTGCTAACGCCTTCAAAGGCGAGGGAAGAGTCGGTCCACAATGTCGTTGGTGCCGAAGCGTCGAATTACGGCTGGGATATTGCATGTAATTTAGTTCACGAGCCATCGTTACAAAAGTTCCTATCTATCTTAAATGTCGTGAATAAAGTAACTTAAACGATAATTTTGCAGTGACAGCGAGCGCAAAAGTTTGCGAGATTCGTGAAGTAATGCTTTTCCCATTTAATTTGCAGTGTCTAAACAAAACACAAGTTTACCATTAGACTCTAAATCTTGCATGGATGAAAATGATAAGGAACTCCAAATCAAGATTAGTCGGTATTCATCAGACCCCATGACAACCTGAGACCGTTCCCAACAGTCTAGAGGGATTTCTTCTCAACATGAGCACAATCCCAGAGATTGCCAAGCCACGCCCACTAATTCAAACTTCAATTCATTGATCTACGGGTAAGAGAGTGGTTCGACTGCGAAGATGGAAAAGACAGCGAAGAGGTAAGGTTTGTTTTTAAGCGATTTTAATATGGTCCGCAGGTATCTTAGGATAACTCTTCGACCATTCTTGCCAGAATGCGACTTTCCCTTAGTTTTTCGCCACCTAATCCTGTTGATTCTGATCGTGAAAAGAAAAACACCAGACACCGGTGGAAGACAGTTTTGGTGTCTCCATACAAACGCAACACGATTGATTCCTTAGTCCATCACCGTTTAAAAAATGTTGACTTCGATGGACGACATTTACCAAGGTTTCCTTAACAAACTTAGAGAGATTTTTTCGACTCTATCTGCGTCAGACATTTGCTTCCAAAACAACTGCACTCTTATAGCTCCCATACAATATCATTAATTTTTTTAGCTTTGGACTTCCGGTATACAGATGGACTAGATGCGCGACTGGTACATAATAGTGTACATTTAAATATATTCTGAATACAAGTCTGAGATACCCTACTATCAAGTTAGACAACTCAAGTTGTTATTAATGGACTTTAATTTGCTAAACTAACTTGGCCATTTGCATTTATCCTTTACAGGAAATATCCTTATTGGAAACTTGGGCCAATAATACTATACATACAATCTCCACTTTAAAAGAATAAAATGTTCTATCTACGCTGTCAAGGTCTATAACAATACATCTGTACATTTAAGAGACTCCACTCAATCCTAGTTTGTTTCGGCACCATCGCCTGTACCACAAAAATTTGCAGGGGGACAAACAACCCCCACCGCCAACATCACGATTTCGTCACCCTTCATTTCGTTACCACAAATTATAGTTCAAAACCCTTACTATGCTTCCTACGGATCTATACTGACACTTAACACTAAGCTTGTGGTGAAAGGAACGTATCTAGGGGTGACTTCAGAGAAATCAGAAAGAACAGTTTTCGAATTTCCCAGAAATAAAATTTAAACGTAAGGGGGAAAAACATAAGAAAGTGAAGTGTTTCTTACATTAAAATTGTTTTGTATAACCTATTTCATAACGCAAACTACAGAACAAAGGCACCTTGATTGACACCTATCCAAACTGCGGCACAAATCTATGGTCGAAACGACTAGAAACTCATTCCCTGAAAGGGATACAATCCTCGCAACGAGCTCTCATGTCATTGGTTACTGCAGTGTTTGATCGTTGAAAATTTGAATATTCTACGGTACAAAGAGCAATTCCAGAAACTTACAGAAGACTTCACAAACAGAGCGTATACGAAACCATCCCCTGATATCATCAAGCCAAGTTACAGTAATTTCTTTCAAGATCTCAGTTGAACAATTCAAATTTATCTGGTGGCAAACTTTCCACACAATTAGATCATTATATATATCTCAATATATCTTTAATTCTAGAACCTAAAAGCCTGATGTTGATGCAGATCACTCTCAATAATTAAAGGTGAATAAAGAAGTAGAAATCTTAAATAAAACTCCACTACAAGAATCCTTCCTATAATTTAAAATAACGATAAAAAAGAAACATTGCAGACTAAAATGCCTTCTCTCGCCTGACTTAAATTGAAATTTGAAACTTATTCAAGGCTGTGCCAGCACAAAGCTTTGATAACAGTAAATTGTTCGAGGCTTCAGATCTGTTGACGCCTCATCCCTGAAGCACGTCGACATCAAAAGCCGCACTGGTGGTCATAAGCATATCATGGTGACCATTCCACACAGTCTGTGCTGGTTCCATGTCGTACTAAAACTACAAAAGCAAAGAGGTGAGTGTCCCTTAACTAGATCTGTGCCTGTGACTCATACTCCGCACCGTCGTCGCTCCAGTAGGCCCTGTTGTTTGTTAGGTTCCTTCCCTGACGCCAATGCGTCGTTGCTTCGTCACGTGAGCGGCTCAAGTGCCGAGAAGAAGCCGTGGAGGAACGGTACCCACTGGAGGCCTGATAACAAGAAAGGCGAGAAGAGCTAGCAACTGATTGGTCGATTAAGACGAACCTAACCACTGTAAGATTACTCTCGGGTGCCTAGTTTGAAAACATCATTTGACTACCAAACACAAGTGCAGCTGATGAATAACATACTCTTAAAAGTACCGCTAAAACGTAAAGAACAGCTTGAGGTGTGGTTGTTCAAAGCGTAATTAACACAAAGTTTGAAGTAGCATGACTACTTATGCTACACTAAATCAATTATTTTGGGAAACCCTAGCACCCTAACAAATAGATAGCAACATTTCCTGGTCTGTTAACCAAAAATCTGCAAAAGAAAATGGTCAAGAGAAAACCACATGCCGACAAACAGCCGATGACATCAGTACACAACCGAGTTTTCACAACAAACGAGTTACCAGTATGAAACAAGGAATTTCAACAGTACGTATTGAAGACACAAGAAAACCACAGAATCAAGTGAATCTGAGATCATCTCTCAACGTCAAGTACAAAATTTTATTACTGACAGATCTCTGGCAAACTAGGAAAAGTGAGAGGTAACGAGAATGCTTCACTAACTATCTCTTAAGAGAAAACGAGTTATCCGCCACTGAAGCTCCACCCAAAACCAACAAAAGAGCAGCCAGCAGCTGACCAATCACTATTTACAAACCAATAACAAAAGCATCATAATGACCAACTAGCCAACACTTGAATGACCCACTGTTTCTTATGACTGTAGGTACTACATCGCTCAAGTTTGTCGCAACGCGTCGCCGACAGCGTCCTTCTTTAAATTAATCTTATTCGCCCGGATTGGAAACAACATTAAAATCATGGCGAAGTTTGTGCTTTGGTCAATTAGCTAACGAACAACCACACCAGAGCAAAAACAGTTCAGACCATATTGCAAACATTCAAGGAAAAAGTAAAAAAATTCCCGAGCAAGAAGTACCAGTGTGCCAAGTATAAAATCTTAATCTGTTAGAATCGGATCGACGAGTTTTTCCGTTTTTCCTTTTTTTTATTTAATTGGCTGCGAAGAAAACCAAAATACAGCTCAGGAAATGAAAATGTGTAAACAGGCAATATAATAGATGGTGTTCATAGTAACACAGCGGACTAAATAGCACACTGAATAACATAACATATCTTTTAAGTGCTGATTTAGTACAATGTCGTTAAATTTCCTTACAGTGTACTTTAAGTTTAAGAGGCTTATCATATTAAACAAAAACTCCACGGCTTCGGCTCTCAAAGCACGCAAAGTATGACTCGAACGCTGCGCGTTGGAGTCCAGAAGGTGATTAAACTTTATCTATTCTATAATAAGGCGTTCTACACTACGTGTTTAAGCTAGTTGTTTGACGGGTGCACAAGAAAACCGAATGACTTACCACGTGCTATACGTCGTAGCATTCGGTGCCAATTGCGAGTTCTGGATTTGTTAGCATCTTAAGTAAAATTAAATAAGCTTCAGTTACTGGTTAGAAAGTGGGGGTGGAGGGAGTTATTCAATACAGACAATAGGCCATGGGAATGAATACGCACACAAAAAAAGAAAAACAAACAAACAAATTCACACATCCGTGCATTAGATAATGTGTGTGTTTAACGCTATAAATAATCTGTCACAAGTTTAACTTCATTGTACAGTCTTATGTTTATTTAAGTGTTTAAGGAATGATCATAGTGGCGAAACTTCACTACTCGAAGTCAAATTTTCTCTCGCTTACTCGAATTGTTTAGCAAGCCTAAGCGGACGTGATGCTACATCTACTATTTGATTGGGGCTGTGAATAACGCTTGTTGATGGGGAATTCGATCACCATTCACATTTTCTTTCAATTTAAACTACACTTATAAAATACTTTGTAACAGGTTTGTAGTAAAACGGAATTACGTTTTAACCCTTAGAACAACAAGAATATCTCAACTAAAATAAAAACATTCAGTACTATTATAAACCCCAATAAAAAAACGCATTTCAAATATCAACCTCTTGAGATCACGAGTGCGAGATTATCATAGTTTTTAGATCAGCACCTACTGCATGGAGACTGTCATCAGCACACAAACAAGAAAAGTAGAAGAAAATAAATACCAAGCTATTCTAACTACAGGTCAAAATGAGCATAACAACGCATTGTCAAAACGTAATCCAAACACAAAACGCAAAACGCTACCAACACCGAAGTATTCACAAACGTGACACTGGTAAACAACATGAACTTACCAGTGAACTCCTGTTTCGAAATCCAGACATCGAGGACGAACGACCGCCTGAGTCCTATCAAATTTATAAGCAAAGGTAGGTACGAAGTCAAATGCAGCAGACTGATGGCTAATTGATTGACACAACGTTAATATAACCTATTCTCAGACAGTGCCCTGAACTTAGCTCATGCTATGTCATTGTTGGTACAAGTTGAAGGCACCTAAATCTTAAATCACAATGACGAGAGAAAACGTATACATAAAACATCATCCTTCTGACAATTAAGAATTGGCTCACGCGTTAGCATGCCTTCACCAGAGCGATGAAGCACGTGGGAAGTTTGGAGAGAACGAAAGATGCGTAAGAATTGCCAAAGCATGCACAATGAGAAAGTGGTGCAAGCTCGCGGAGTTGAACTTGATTAAAAAAACTTTACCAACTAAGTTAGAGCTAAATTCGACACTTTTCTCTGATTTGTGTATTCAGGTTTACATCAGCACAACCTATTAACAACATCCACCTTATGAAGAAACAAATAATAACTTCCTACCATGTTATCCTCAGAGGCTAAATAATCGCTTGTCTCCGATAAACGAGCGTAATCTAGGAGGAAAAATAGAAGAAAAAAAAAAGGAAAGAATAGACTCAATCAATGACACAACAAATCCAAAAAATGGCTGTGCTTCTATGTACTGAGCAGAAAAAATTAGTTCCAAAAGCTGCCTGTAAATAAAATTTCACCCTTAAGAGTGATTCCAAAGCATGTTTATGGCTCTGTTTACCTGAGTCAAAGTCGATGGTAGATGTTGGGGAGCTGGGTCGAGGTGAGTCTGAATGAAATCCGCCTGAGAAACTATCGTCATTGACAGCAAACTGGGAACCAGGAAGTTCTCGTGTGCGACGAGATGATGATCGACCCTGCTTTAAGCGTTGAATCTGTGAGTTAGCTAACTGAAGATCACATCGCAACCTAAAACAAAAAAAAAGTGAAAACATGTTTGAAACACGAAATATGAACGCGTAGAAGCAAACAGAAACAAGGACAGAGATGGAAGCAAAACATGGGAGTTTTAGATGTCTTAAACGATTCAATGCATGACTAAAGAATTCTATTTAGAAATGAATATTGAATAATACTGAATGTGCTGTGTTTGAGTTACAATACTCAGCGAGGACATTCCCTGTTGCAAGAGAAGGGAAGGGACGAAGAGAAAGTGCCTTATCTGATCTTAGAAAGAGATAGACCAAAACATGCTTGCATTCAAAAAACAAACAACAAAACCACAAAAACATCCACAAGGAATAAGCTCACCTGTCTCGCACCATATCTCGATCAGTTATAACTCCCTGGAAAAATTAAGTAAAAAACTAATTATGAGTGAGCTTACAAAGCGACAGAACTAAACACAACAGACAGTATTTTCAAGAGCTACTTACGAGTAACGTTGTGAGTTGTTCATTAAGCACCGATGTGGACGAAACGAGTTGTTGCTGCAAGAGACAACAAAGATAATCTTGTACGTAACACTAACAAGTAGTTCATACTGAAGCAAGGTGATGGATCTTAGACAAAATGCGCCTTTCTCTAAGGTTTATTCGTAGTAAAAGGAGCCTCATTCACTCATTATACCTTTTCCTATTGTTCACTTACATATTTAATGATTACCTTTCACAAAACTAATTACACTGTAAGAGTAAACACAATGTTCAACAGTAGTATGCATTGTTTGTCTTCCTCACACTCGCTACATTAGTAACTAGTGGTATAGACTTCACTAATCTGCCTCTTTAAGTTAAAATCTACACCAAGAGCTTTTTGAACTATCATCCTTGGAAAACTGCGCATCACAATATTGCTCAGGATATGAACCAACCTGAGGTGAGAAGTCACCCTGAATGCCACCATATCCGAGGTGTCCCACTCCCCTAGACATGTCATCTATATTTGGGTTAAGCACATCGCTGACCGCTACTGTCAAACGATTCGCTGTAACGAAAAGCAAAGTAATTACCTCCATGATAATAAGGCGAACAAAGTCCGTTGCAACAATAGACCACCTCAGTCGTAGTTCAAATTCTTAAATACAGTGCGTTAAAATGCGTTCAAGCACAAGGTCTTTTTTTTCAGTTATAACGAAACAGTTAGGTGAAGTTCAAGATTAATACCAATGAGTTAACATAACTTGAACAAAGAATTAGAACTCGCAAATATTTCGACTTTGAGCTTGAGTGCCACACCACACAGCTCACAAGAGCGAATACATAACAAACGGCTCGCATTTGTTTTATTTCATCGGGAAAGCGTCTCTAACCATTGACAACATGGAAATTTTGAGCTTGAACACCGAACATTGGTAAGCCAAAAGAACAAACAACAACAGTCAAAGAGCCTGAGTTAAAAGATCAACATGCTGGTTCGTCAATTCCTTTCCACACAAGCAAACAGTTCGGAAACATGACACATTTGAAACTCACCCTGAAGAATTGCCGCTAAAATTAAATCCCTGCAAGAAGAACGAAGCATTGATTATCAATGAAACCTACAGTAACTGTACAAGGTAACGAGTTACGTTACATCATTACAAGAAAAAGATCCGAACAAGAAATGAAAGGGAACCAACAGAAAAAATTCCAAAGATGGTAGTGTGGTTAACAGATGACTCAGTGTACTAATGGTTTGTCGCCTTGCCGCGAACTTGCAATAGGGCTACGTGAAAATTAGTACATGCAAAGTCAGATTTAAGTTAGTATCACGTAAATGTAGCAGAACTGTGTACCTAGCCTCCACTGAATCTCCATTCACGTGGCTCTGGAAAAAACAGACACAATTCATAATTTTAAAAAAAGCAACACAACAAGAAACAAGTCACCAGTAGTTCTTTTTAAGGCCTTCGTCGAGTGATCTGTGCGTCACCACTAAAAAAAATCAACCACAGCACTACAAGACAAAACATTTGGAGACAGTTCAATCTATTAAGGTAAATTTAAAGTTACAGCAACCTGCAGTCGGCTCAGATCCTTTTGTAGCCTATTTCCACCTTCATTTCGACTTAAGATCCGAGCTAAGGAAAAGAGGAGGCTTACCTCATTCGTGGCCGATCCCATCGTCATGTTTGCCCCCTACAAATAAAATCACAATACACATGTAAGTGACTAGCATCTAACTCCACCGAATCACAAATTAAGTTATGATCATCAACTAAACAAGCTCTTGGTTGTTTAACAAATTCTCCTTGTTAGCACCCCAGGAAATGTATAGAGAACAGTATGCAGAGTATGCTTACTGATGTTAGGGTGTATAGAGTATAACTACCTTCCGCATAAACAAAGGCCACTCTGTCTTTAAGGCGATTCTATTTCTTTCACTAATTAGCTCCATAGACTAACAAAACTGTTACCCTGAGCTCAGCGACAAGTCTTGATTTTTCCTCTAGAATCTTGCGAAGATCGTTGTCTTTTGACCTCAGTAACTCTGTAAGAAAGCAAAACGAAACAAATCGTAACTATATTTCCATGAAAGCAAATTTTCTTCACGTATCAACCGCAAAAGTGGTCAATCCTTTAAAACGAACACTTCATGATGGTCCAAGACATTATCAAGACATTATCCATAAACCTGTGTTTTCATCCTGTTGTGGCCAAACTGTCTCTCTATAGAGGTGGCATCGCCATCGAGGGCGATTCAAACTTAGTCCTGAATCTAATGTAACTAAAAAGTTCGCTTTACCGAAAAAAAATTTAAATAACTCGTAAACAGTTTAATGGTACATTCAGTGCAACAAGAACGCAAAGGTTACAGCTGAGCTGTTGATGATCACAACCGATTTCCGATATGTCAACGATTACATACTTAGCTAAGATCCCTGAAATTCCTTGTATGAAGCGAACAATAACTCAGCTAAATTAAACTTACAGTAAAGTACGAAAAAGATTCCGGGATAAACGCAGCTGGAATAGTTGCTTTATTTGTGAAAAAGAAGTGGACAGAGGAGACCTATAACACACTGTACAATTGTAATGTTCTTATTTCCTTCTCCACCGTAACCGTTAATCTACACACCTAAAAGCACAGCAGATGAACGGGAAGGATGCCCACCAACAGACTCATCTTGTTCATCAGCAGATATGTGCACATAGCTTCTTCTTATCTTCAGCGTGTCGTTGGATGAGCTGGAGGATGATTCAGAAGTCACACTGTTTCGTTTCCTTTCCAGTAAAGATCTTTCATCCACACTCTCTTCATTCGTCAGATCTGCCACAGCCGCCCTGTTGAAAAGTGAAGATCCCGCCGCTTCACCGTCCTCAGCTGAAAGAACCTGCAACAGATTATAACATCACGACTGTGTTCTCGACATTTTCAAACTTTCATCGTTGGGCTCAGAGGGAAACGTCAAAACACTATACAAAATAGAGCATTATAAATATTGCTCTGCGATGACATAGCTACAGCAATTTAAATAACGCTATTAAGCAGCGCCAGTAACACCCTATCAGCTTAAATTTGAAATTTGGAGCATTAAAACTGCGGTGGTTTGAAGAAAAACCGGGTCAGTGGTGAGACCTTTTCTCTCTTGTATTCAAGGAGCTCTACCTGAGAACTCAAATATCACTCTCGTTAGCTATGATCCATAAATTCATAGAAATGCTTACATCAGTTTCTGAATCGCTCGGAGGACTGGACTCAACTGTAGCCATTTGAATCTTAACTGGTGATTCGCTCTGTACTTGCACCTGTTCTTTAACATCCTTCTCTGAAACTTCGGTCTCTGTTTCCGGTTCTGAATCCGGTTCAGATTCAGACTCGAGTTGCGATTCTTGGCGACCAGTAGGTTCATTAATTTTAGGAACAGCTACTTCCTCCTGAGTGACTGGTGCCTCACTTTCCGTTTCTTCATCTTCATCATCATCTTCGTCCTGATTCTGAGTGCGATCTTCCTCATCATCATCTCCTGGATCAGAAAAATCATCATCTGCATCAGTTTCTTTCTCTATGTCCTCCTCTTCTGCTTTAACATCTTCCTCCCTCGGCTTCTGTTCCTTGGCAGGTTCTTCCTTTGCTTGGTTGTTCACTCGTCTGCTGGGCAGCTCTGTGAGATCTAATTCCGATACAGGTTGTCGAACACCTTCAACTGATACTGCATTGCGACGACCTCGTTCTACACAAGATAAATTAAGATACCTACCATCACAGATGTGTTTTTTTTGGGGCCACTGTTACCCGCCCGACAATTGCGCGAGGATATACTTTCAGTTTCCCTTATTCATACAATTTGCGATGGAGAGAGAATCTCAAATTCTTATCCTTTTCCATAATTTTAAAGGTAATGTCAATTCTACTTCATCATGCACTTTTTATCCAGTATGACTTTCCTCTTATTTTTTTTAATTTTCTAATACGGGTAACTTTGTAAGTCCCCTTTCCAATTGAAGAATAAGAGTCCTATACAAATGGTTTAACATAAATAAATGAAGCAAACCTTTTATTTTGAATGCCTCCACAGCATCGGTTATGTACTTATACCAACTGTGGAAAGAAAGCACAATTTTCCTGTTAGCTGCTTTTTGACTACATCGATAAAAGGGCTCCTGAGAGGGCAAGTTCAAAATTCTACATGTAACTACCGTAATGATTCGATGTAGCGCCCAGGGGCCTCAAGGGAGGGCGCTTATTAAGGACAAGGCGTTTATATCTTTTTTGAGAACAGCAGAATGTGCGAAACAAAGCTCTGATGTTTCTTTGAAAACGGACTTGTTATCCCGCCCTAGATCCTTCCTTGCTAGAACCATAAACCCAGCAATCGCAAAATTTTGGACATCATTCATTTGAAGGAACTGTGTACTCACTTAGACATTATAGTCGAGAGACTGAGACGTAGACAACTGTTTTTATAATAAGGCTTTAAGTGAGATATTAAAGGAAGATGAACCACATTAACCACATAGTACATGCATTCTACCAGTTCTATCAGAGAAACAGAATAAGGGCGCTTATTGGAATCAGAGTGCTAAGTCAATGGGGACACTTGTTAGCAAACACCGTGGGGGCACTTATTAGAGAGGGGGCGCCTATTAAAGAAGGGGCACTTATTAGAGAAGGAGGTGCCTATTAGAGAGGGGGCACTTATTAGAGAAAGGGCGCTTATTAGAGAAGGGAGGCTTATTAGAGAGGAGGGTTTACTAGAGAGGGGGCACTCACCAGAGAAGGGGGTGCTTATTAGAGAGGGGGTGCTTATTAGAGAAGGGACGCTTACAAGAGAGGGGGCACTAATTAGAGAGGGAGGCTTATTAGAGAGGAAGTGCTTATTAGATAGGGGGGGCCCCCTTGTTAGAGAGGGTACGTTTAGTAGAGAGGGGGCATATTAAAGAAGGGATTGTTAGAGAAAGGGCACTTATTAGAGAGAGGGGGGGCTTATTAGAGAGGTTACGTTTAGTAGAGAGGGGGCTCATTAGAGAGGGTGGCTTATTGGAGAAGAAGCGCCTATTAGGGAGGGGGGGGCTTATAAGAGAGGGGGGCACTTATTAGATAAGGGGGGCTTATGAGAGAAGAAGTGCTTATTAGAGAGGGGTCGCTTATTAGAGAGGGGCTTATTAGAGAAAGGGGGCTTATTAGAGAGGGGGCTTATTGGAGAGGGGGCTTATTAGAGAAAGGAGGCTCATTAGAGAGGGGCTTATTAGAGAGAGGGTGGCTTATTAGAGTAGGGGCGCTTATTAGAGAAGGAGGGCTTATTAAAGAGGGGAAGGCTTATTAGAGAGGAAGGGTTTATTAGAGAGGGGGGGCTTCTTCAAGGGAGGGCGCTTGATCGAATCATAACGGTAAACAGGGTGTTCAGTTTATCGAGTGCATAATTCTGTCATTTAGGTGGATACCTAGGCAAATGATGATTGCTTTTCTTTTCGAGATGATTTTTTTTTAAGAGGGGGCTTATTACATCTGTTTCTTACTTGCCTTCGCATTTTATGGTTTGTTTCGTTATGGCTTAAATATACACGTTTTCTTCATACACCGCTTAGATTTACAGTTAAGCTAAATTATAGCAATTAGTAATACAATAGAGTAACATAACAGCGATTACTTACTTTTTCCTGTCTGTTACAGTTGCTGTCACCAGTTCGTAAATCTGTGGTCCAACTGATGAAGACGTACTCACAAGAAAGAAAGCTCTCTTATCTGACGGTAGTGGGATAAAGACAATCATAAAGATAGAACTCCTATCTCATATTATGATATAAATTACTAAAAAGCAAAACTAACGCTTGGTTAGTGACCGGACACCACTTTCAACCACAAGACTACATTTGCCCGATCAGTCTGATTCACGGAAACACCAAACTACCAAAATGGGTCTGCACTAGAAAGCACTGAAACTGGTTTACGAATTGGAAAGTCTAACCAGGAGACAATATATCGGTAGTTGCACAGGGAGCAGGGCAATTCACTCTATTCCAAACTGAATTCACCCAACAATAGCAACATGATTCAATTCGGTTGACTGACCAGCAACAGCTGCTGTCGCGCAACGGGTCTGTTGAAATCTACGACAGGCAAGCGAACGTTTCCGCACAAGGCAAAGTCGAGGCACGAGGTGCCGACAACTTAATGAGTTGGCAACCAACCAGTAATCTACTTGGTTTTTGACTTTTACGTTGGATTCAAACAGACGCATTTGCGGTCGCTTTTATTATCGGTCAGTAGCCCTGAGCAAATCACGTTGTAAAGGTGCAGAGAAATGAATGAAAAATGCAGTCATATAATAAGACTCCTCTGTTCTGTGCGGTTTATGTGAAATAAGAAACCTACCAGTTGCCACATTTCTTGTAAGCACGCTGCTCAGTTTGATGATAGGACTGTGCGTGGTCTATAGAGTAAACAAACAAAGAACGTATGATGTCTAAAATTCGGAATACAAGAAAAACTGTGAAAAGGTCTTACAAGACGTTACCTTTTCATTTAGATATCCTGCCTGGAAGGTCGAACTAAGACATTTGAGAACAAGCTTCTCATCCTGCTTTTGAAGGAGAATAAGCAAGTCTTCTAGCAACAGTACATGAAGATCTGATGAGAGAAAAAATTAAAACCCAACGTAAGCACTACAAAGTAGTCTGAAACAAGAGATGATTAGATGCCCACTTGTTCCAAATTATTTCTGTTTGCTATACCTTATATATAAAACAGATTTAAAAACCATACACAGAAAGATGTTGCTAAACAAACCTCATCGTTATAACGATTACAAAAAAACAGTGCAGACAAGTTATTTCAAAATCACTTATAATCATATCAACTAACCAACACACTTGGTTCTGTTTATTCTCCACGTAAGTGGACCATCATAAACCAACTTCTTTTGGGTGAGGTCCAGGTTCTAAACATCAAGGGGCGAAAAATTCAAAGGAAATATATAATATATAAATAAATATATAAACAAATAAATACGACAACTAGTTGAAGTAAACCGTACATCAAGTTACGTTATTGATAGAAAATGAAACTAAAAGTTTTGGAGGTTCTATTTCACTAATTCCTATCAATTTCCGTGGATACCTTAGATTGTTACAAAGTAACAGCTATGGCTTGATAAAACCTATAGACCATCGGTTTTTCAGTAAAAACAAAATGTCATTCATTGATTTATCCACACCTTAAACTCCTCCATAAGTTTGTTATTGGTGTTCTCTAGAGGCCTCCTGTCGATTTTCCTCTGAAAGTCTGCCAGTCTCTGCATGAGAAAAAACCGGAAACGTCAATCGTATCTGTTGTCATCAAATTACATGCTTGAGCTGGTCGGTGGCCATTTCAGATATCGTAGGTTGCTTTTTTTTTTTAAATTTATTTACTTTTTTTTATATTTCCCGTCCTTTTTTTTGCTATTGACTGCATTCCAGTGCATGAAATAAACTTACACATACTACAGTACATTGTGTATGAGCCACTGATAAGAAGTAAGCATTTACAAGCTCCATGGTTTCAGACTTCAGATATCTGCACAGCACCTAACGTAAAAACTGCAAAATACATCCCCAATTGCTGACTGGAGAGTAAGACTGGCGAAAATATGATTTCATTCTATGCCAAATGCCTCCTAATGCCGGTTAATTACCACATTTGAGTAATCTACATTTACGACAAAAGACAGATGGAGAGATTGGCCATCTTACTTGTTGATCTTCACATTCCTTAACACTTTGGTTTACGTAAGCCAGCAAGTTCTGTAACAAAAAAAAAAAACCGAAATGAAGCGCCGTGCAACAATAGAATATGCATCCTACGTTTATCAATGTTGTCAATCAATTAAGTATTCAACTGCTTACTGAGGCTTCTAAGACTTCCCTCGAGTGGAAAATCACCAGCTCTACGTCAAGCGATACTCGTGGCATAAAGTGGTTACCTCCATAATTTAACTTTTCTCACTGGATGGTCTTTGGAATTGAAGTCTTAACTCAACGTCAATTCCGGGTAAGATTTACCAAAAATTCAAAGATTTGCTGGGAGATATAACTTCAAAGTGGAGCTCGTACAACTCCAAAATGTCAAAATCTTAACTAACATCTCTTACCTTGGTACACTGTATTGCTCTCTCGATACTTCTACCATCTTCATGTGAACCTACGTAAAAACAAAAGCTTATTAAAGACTTCATCTAATCTTTGGTTCCAACCGTGTAAAGGGCTAGAGCAGCAAAGCAGTGAAATCAAAATATAGTTCTTCATCTGTAGAAAATGTCAAAGTTTAAAACAATGCACTTTGGGTTTACCCAAAATGGTGGTCAGCTATTTGATGTTACGATCTCTAACAGTTTCTTGAAGTCATGGGAGATATGATCAAATCCCTGTTTGATCGACTATAAATTTTAAGTATGATAAGGTAGGCGAGGAATAATATTTGGCTGCGACATAAACAATTTTTTGTCTGTAGCAACCATACTTGAAACAGATTTCGGAGTGACTACAGTAGTCGCTACAGTGACACGTACTTGGAGTATTTTTCTGTATGCCTTCCAACAACATCGGGTATTTCGTCAATCGCTGATAGCTGTTTGAAATAATATCTTGCAGTCTTAACCTCCGACAGAGAGGATCATTTTCACAATTCTGTATGAAAACAGGAAAGGCAAAATATCACCATAAACTTATTACATAATAAACTCAGAAAATCAAGATAACCTCAGTACAGTGCTATAAACTCAGAACATATCTATAAACTTAGTTTCGCTGTTTCATTACATATGGAACTTAACTACGAAGGTGGTGGTTGAATCATATTTTCAAAGTACAAATATGAAATGCACATACCACTATAAACTGTTGCAGTTTTAAATCTTTTCTCTGTCGATGCTGAAATAAAGAGAATCATCGAATTGTGAATACCTTAAATTAACGTAGGTTCTGATATAAAAATTACACCTTTTTCATTGCTGCACATCTGTAGGTAACTTCCAAGAAAAAGCAGAACCATTCTAAGTGCAGTCCTTTCCCAGCTCAAAGCTTGGATTGCTAGCATCGCTGATGTAAAATCATGTGTACAGGACCTCAAACGGGTGAAAAAAGGAAATCGTACGGTACAGTGTCTTCAGTATTGCTTTACAGTTCAGTGCTTAGTTTGCAACAATCTCCTCCATGATTAACAAACTTTTGATGTGTCTCTAGAATATGTACAAGTGAGTAGATTCGGAGGCCAATGTATTAGGATATCTTTCATCTCTACCCCGCGTTTCATCACAGTGAAGTTAAGATGGTTCTTCAACACGTAAAACTTGGACTTGATCCACTAACCTTGAGCTGCTCTAAAGCAAATTTCTGATGGTTACAAAATTGTGCACAAGCCTCTTTTGCTTGCTCACCAGGTTCTCCGTCGAACTGGAGAGAGAAGAAAATCCAAGATTAAAAAAACCATTTCACAAGCTAGATTTACGAAAGATGTAGTGGACAACAATGCCTCCCAAAATGACTACATGATGAGAAGAGTAAATAAATCAAGAACAGTACTAATCAAATCCATAGCAAGGAACGTCCACACTACAAGAAATTCCCTTTTGAGAATTACAACTACAACAACAATAACAAAAACAAAATTACTCCATAACAGGGAAACTTCACGCTACAAGCCTTGACCTTCTTGCATCACAATAACAACAACAAAAACAAAACGAGGAACTAAACAACAATCTGTACCAAAGAACGTACACTTTGTGGGCCTTACCCTATCGAGCATAACGTCTCCAATACAAGTAATAACTTCGTCAGATTCTTCTTGTCTGGCCATCATGCTCTGCATTAATGACACTACAAGGAAACACAAAAGACAACACAATTATATTTTTTATACTCATCCGCCTTGAACTTCTGCAAGAATGTTGCACTTCAACAACAAAACCTGAGTACTCATCTAATCTAGTTTTAATTCAAAATATCTCAAGACAGACACCTCAAATGCATCACCTTACTGAATCAATAAGAAGTATGGATTGTAACAAACTTCACTGATAACAGTTACACGTGCACTTGAGATGAAGGTGGTATTGCATCAACTCAGCTTATTGAAGTGAATACTGCGCATTTGATTGTTTGGGGGAAGGATTCTCGTGAAACAAAACTTAAAAGAAACTTTTTGCTTCCTTACCATGAAGTTGAATCAAAGCATCCAAGTTCGGAAAAAGTTGGTGGATTTGCGTATAAGGCATAATATTCATTTTTATCATGGGTTTGTAGAAAACCTGAAAACAAACAACACATTTCAATGTAAAATCATCTACTTTGGGGAAACTCGTCACTTAATTCTGCACCTCCTTCCCAGGCTCTCCCTTACCCCCACCTCAAGGGTTAAGACGTGGAGAGAAGATAGAGCCTGGGAAAGGGATGTTAAATACTGGAGAGGAACTTTGGAGACAGTTTACATCACATGCAATTACGCTTCTCTCACCTTGCTAAGGACTTTTAAATTTCTAACGTGAGTTCTTTCAGTGTAGATAAGCTCTGGTAGGGAGGAAGGAAACAGTTATAAAAAGTAACAAGTTAACTTAAATCTAGTCTTTTTCCATCTTTATGACATCAGACAATTTTCCTTGTGGCCATTACTGTAATTCACAGTTTGTACGAGTATGAACTACATGTGCATTCAGATAAATAGTAAAACAGTTAGCAGTTCAAAGCTTCTGCGGCTTGCCACATGTTCCAACTTCTCGCTTATGTTGCAAAATTGAAAGAATATGTTTTAAGTTAATAATTACCATGAATGAATTCTTGTCGCTTTATTTCTTTTCCCTTTAACTTCCTCAGAAACTATTGAAGGAAGGAAAAAAAAAAAGAGGGACAACGTCCACTACCATTTAACGCAATTCGGTACGTAACTAGATAACTTTATGTCTTCTCTTTTTCCTTCCAGTTCTCAGACGAAATTGCACGACACATCCTGTCCTATTCATATTTCTCATCACCTTAATCTCATCTCACTTAAAATACTCGACCCATACGGGAAGAAAACAGACAACTGCCTGTCAACTTAAAAACTTGTACAGAAATCTCTCCATAAATGACTTAGGGGAATGATGTATACATTAATACAATACCTGCAGGTGCAGGAAGGACTACTTGATTTGTCTCAATTAAAGGAAGCCTTCACCAGAGGATCAAGTTGCCATCAAACTGATGGAAATGCTCAGTTTGTTGTCCGTTTATCAAGATTCGGAAGAAATTAATGAAATAAGAACTAAAATGTATAAAACTAGAAACAAATGCAAACAATATTGGCGTTTGAATTTCCCGGTAGGCGCCATATTGGATCGAATGCCGTAATACGGTAGGCCTTTTTTCATGCAGACAGTAGAGGCAACAATAAAGCGTCCAACTTTGAAACATGACGGCGCGCAAAAAAATCCACATTCAAAAACAAGTAAAATCTCTTTCGATAGCTTCTCACTCTAATAACTTATTTCCCATTTTAAGACCATTGGTTCCTGCCATGGACGTTTCCTTAAGAACAGGTTAAGTACCTTCTTATCTATAACTTGTTGCCATGGTGTTGGTTGGGCATCTACTTCCATGTCTGGGTCCTACATCAAATAAACCATTGATCAGCGGATGAATCGTATCAGTTGGAAAGCACTGCACCACAGCTACATTATGAATATCATTTTACTGTCATTAAATGTCTGCTCAGAGAAATGTGGTCAGACTTCTCTCTAAAAGTAATCTTGCAATGGCTTTTCATGCTCTCAACCAACTGGTTAAAATTTTATCCAATAGTATGTAAAACTCTCCAAGAACAACTCCCCTTAGCAAATTTTTCTTAGGACAACACACCTTCTTTGTTTTCGTAATCTCTAAATTTTTAATCATTTTGTAAAACAAGAGAGATGTTACAATGGCAGAACGTGTATGTACATACCCCATTGCTGCCTAACGTTTGAAGCATAAATATCAAACAATTAAAACCCCGTCCAATCTTAAAATGATAGACATTACACTTATTACCAAGTAAAACATTTCGAATCTCCCCATAAAATTTTCCTCATATAAATTTCAGAAGAACTAAGCTTCCTAAGAAAGGTTTGGGGGCGAACTAGTAAAGGTGTGGGTGAATTTGTTTTACGTTAAGGGCGAACTAGCAAAGGTGCCATGGGGCGCACCTCTCCACAAACGGAAACCATTAATATATAGATTTAGCCAAGTCTAAAAGCGGAGCTTGCATTTTTTTTTCCCGCACGCCTCAAGGGCACAACGCCTTGCCCCGGCCGGACTAGAACCCTGGTCGTCCGAATCGGAGCCCAGTACACTGACCACTGGACTACTCGACAAAGCCGTGGCGTTGGCGTGCCCGCGGTACAGTTGACCACGCATGGTAAAAGTAGCACCTTGTACGGTCGCACGGACGTACATCCAAATTTTTTCGGCTTGATGGGTTACTACTATTTTATATAATTATGGGGCTACGCGAGCTCCACTATAAATAACGATGTAAAAGAGAATGAAAGTTCATAATAGGGATCATAACTTACCGGTTCTTCTTCTGGGGGCAGAAAAGAAGGAGACCGTGAGCGGGCACGTCTCCCTGAGAGCAAATAACACAGATTAGATGTGGAAGTACAAACAAAGGGTGATGACGGAAATCATATGCTAATAACTTCGTTTAAGTTTACTTAGCGTTACCAACAAAATAGCAGTTTTAAATGAAAAACTTTTTATCATGTATTTTAGGTAAAGATATCAAAATTATGTTTAACTTACCAAGAAAATTGTCGTTTAAGTTTCTTAAGAAATTATTTAACTTGTCCTGAAAACAACTTTATCAGATGCCTATTCTACACGAAAAAAACTTCTAAGAGAAAAAACATGAAATTTCGGTATACATAGGAACTTATAAAAGCTTCCTTGACATCGTCTCCTTAACCACAGGTTTAAAGGTCAATGCACAACAAAAAGTACGATTCTTCCTCTGAAGGACCCAACTTGCTTTCTTTTCAACTCTTCCTGTCTTTCATATGAACACTTTTTAAAAAACTCACCTTGAAATTTATACGCAGTCACATTAAAAAGATCACAGAGTGCTAAACAGTGCTGCTAGGAAATGCTGCAATCATATCAACATTTTTCATGTGTATGATGTTGTATGTAAAACAAATGTATGTACAGTGGCCTGAATGCAGTGAATGTGCTGCCCTAGTCGAGACAACTTAACACCTCCTAATTAGTTAAGCAGGTAACAGCACACAGGTTATGACGCCCATCACATAGTCGGTTGATGGTATATTACAACTATCTAACAGCAGAACTGTTACTTTGCTTTCGCCAACATTAGAAAATCAAATGGATTAACCATTAAAATGGCCAGTGTTTTGGTGAACCAGAAATCACTCGAAAAAACCTGTATTTTTTGACTAGCTAATATGACACTTTTTTCCTCTACAAAATCAAGCTCTAGATGACAAACTTTTGACGAGACACAGCCTTGCAACATAAAGAATCCTATCATCATATAAAGGTGCCATGCAAGTTCAAGGCTGGTACTTATGCTCCTAAAGAAAAAGCATTTTTTAAAGTGTGCTGTTTGACAGTTCAGTTGATATTAAGTAGAATTTGCCACATAAAAGAGGTTTGTTGGATACTTGACAGGCTCTGAGGTTCTTCCCTGAGACAATTGTATCAAATTCCACGAGAACTCAAACTCAATCATGAACCATTTTCGCTTTAACCTCCATAAAGATTTCTGTTTTCAAACTAACCATTGCATTAAATCTAAAATTACTGACCCTAATAGTTAAATGCTTTCATATATTATCATTACAGAGCCATAATTCAATTAGCAGCTGTTTTTCAGACAAAACTAATACTATGATTACTGTTAAAGTTATTAAGAAATTATTATTGGTGTAGTTTCATTGTGGTCATGTGAAAGTGAAGGCTTGAGATGAATAATTTTATGGAAACATTTATGAAAGTCAAATGAAAGTCAAATAAAAGTCAAATAAAAGTCAAATGAAAGTCAAATGAAAGTCAAATGAAAGTCAAATGAAAGTCAAATAAAAGTCAAATGAAAGTCAAATGAATGAAAAGACAAAATGACACAGTTTAAATGTGTAATACCAGTAAAGGTTAACAGTTTCATTTAGAGTCATACACCCTTCATCTTTTCAGCATTTTGTTATTTTCATGTCCTCATGCACCAAAATGCATTTTTCCCAATCATCTATTAATTTCATCCACCTTATATAATTTTACTGTCTGTAACAGATAAATATTTAGTAAGAAAGCATTAAAAATGCAGAAAATAAAAGGGGCCAGAAATAACAAATTGCTGAAAAGGTTGTATTCCACAAACCTATAGCAAATGCATGTAATATAAAAAAATTATCAATATGTAAAATAAGTTTGCATTGCGATTCAACACTCAACATAAAGGAAGTGGTTAGAGAAAGGACAGTGTCACGAGTTAAACATGCACAAAACAACCTTCAGCATGAAAGGTGTTGATGACTTGGTGAACTGCCTGGCTGAATGATGAAATGTTTGCAAAGTGTAACAAAAGGAAGGGCCAGGTCTTTCAAGAATTCTCAAATCTAGAAAGGCAACTGTTGGTGCATGGCTCACAACACTTCCCTCTTTTTTAACCCTATAGCTATACCACAAAACATACCATCTTCAGAAAGTACATCCATTGTGGGAGGATCCACACCACTGAAAAATCAAACAAGAGCCAAATCAAGAGAGATTTCATACAATTTGTTACGTTGATACCATGCTTTTCAAAACAGCCACAACAAAGAAAAATAACAGCTGCACTGTTCATGCAAATTAAAAAAAAAACATTTGAAGCACTTACCGATAATCATTCCTAATACAGAATTTAAGGGAGGAAAAAAATTGTAAGTATCACTGGGTATTGTACAAGGAAACAAAGCACACATCTTGTTTGCCACACAATTGTCTTTCTTAATTTTAGAGCCATGCTGGTTATGAGAAGATTACAGGGCAGAAATTAACTTTTTTCTATCCTCTACAAAAAAAAAGAAATATTTACAATTATTATGGAAAGATACTCCTGAGGTAAATCTTAGCATTATGGTCCATATTTTGCCATACAGACTGTTTCCACAGAAACAATCGTAAGTTAAGGATATTGTGAAAATTCAAAATAAACACATTTAGTCCAAGTGCCATGTAATAAACTACTTACTAACCAAGCTTTCCTTGCCCTGTACTGAGGAATATTAGCCCTTGTTCGTTTTTGTATGGACCTTGTAGCAGTTGGTCAGTACTACCACAACCTCGGGCCAATATTGGAGGGTGCGACTTCATATTCAGTTAGTGAGAGGTTAATATTTTTTGCCGTTGCTACATACTTAAACAACTGAAACGGGTATTTAAGTCTATCTGAGTTTACACATGCAGACCACTTACACAGAATCCACAGGTCCTGCCACAGATTTTCTTATCCTCATATTCATTATCTTGTTACTGAATTCTCTCTAAACATCAAGGAAATAATATGTTACAAATACCATAATTTCATATGTTCAAGTGTAGCTTCAAACACTTGCTTGGTGGAAACTACAAGACATATACCTTGCAAATGCAAAAACCTTAACAATCAACAAAATGTTGCTTTTTCAGCTGCAATAGACCACACTTTACATCAGTTTACCAATGTAAAAACTGACATGCGATGCTGAGAGAACATACAAAAAGTTTGTAAATCATGAGCCATAGGCCAGTGATTTACAAAATTTCCAAACATAGATATCATGGCCTAAATAAAAAATAAAATCAAAATGGTTTCATTGATTCTTTCACTAATGTATATATATATTTGTTTTTGGACAGTGATATTTTTTGGTTCTCAACATCCTTCTTGTTACTCTACCCACTTACAGGACGTCTGAAGCAATAAGTTTTGAAGTATTTAAAACATCACCTGATAATTCACAGAGGAAAAGCAGCATATCAATAGAATTTTCACTAGAAAGAGGCCAATGAGGTTCATGCAAGTAAAAGTTCATGTACAACTATCAAACCCATGCCATTCGGAAAGAGATCTACACTGAATAAAATACCAGCTCTTTTAATATTTCACTTGTAAAAATAATGTCAAAAGATTACTTTACACATCAATGTTCATTTTTGGGGTTAAAATACTCACAGGTGTTTTCATACTCTCTGATCTTCCAACCTTTGGGAGGTGTGGTTTATCAAGAAACAGCTCACTTGTACTGCTAAAAAAAAGCAAAATAAAGCAGACACCAACATTAGCAATGAAAGAGATAGATAATAATTTCAAATAACGCCACTTCATGATTTCAAAATAAATCTTGATTCATTTTGATAAAGCAAATTAGTAAGAATCCTTATAATGCTAACCTTTTGATCTTTAACATTCCCTCCTGAGAAACCAAATCAAAAAACACAAAACACAATCAGTGATCTGTTAAAGTTAAAACTTCTATCTCATAACATATATACCAACATGAAGATTAAGAGCATCTGAGAGTTAAACCCCATTGTAAAAAAATTCATCTTAAACAATTTTAAAATTTGAATTAGAAAAGTTTTTTTAGTGGAAAGTATTACTATTTTAAGATGCACACAGATGAAATTTACATCATTAAGATCCTGATCAACCTGAGCTACATGTACCCTTACTATGGGTAGGACTGTGGTGCAATAACTCTCTCATGTCAGGCAGATACAAATGTTACACAAAATAACATGATATCCCTTACTGATTTACTAATAGTGTAAATCAACAGTCAAAGGCCAAAGCTCTCATTTGAATGGTACATTTTAAATCAACCACCTTGCCAACTCCTAAATGATTTGTTAAAAAGATGTCATACTGTTCACAACAAAAAACAAGTATGATCCCTACTCTAATGCCCAGATGATTAATTAGTGACTACCATATTAACTCGGTATAAGCTGAACTTGCATAAAAGTCAACCCCCCATTTTCAAGGTCAAAGATCAGATTTTTTATCATTTCTAGTTAAAGAAGTAAAATTCAGAGGGATAGAAATTTTCCAAACAGTTAATCTCTTATATCTGAGAATTAATTGAAAACAAGGTGAATTAAAAAAACTGCGGGGTAAAATGTAACCTTGTGTAATAAGACCATGCGAAAAAATAGCATTTGACAGGTCACTAAACTACTGTAATCATTCAATGAAAATGAAAGTTCAACACTATAAACAGCAGCAAAGCTGTAAGACAAAAAGTCCATTCTACAGATCAGAAGACACAACAGAAGTCAGCTCCAGTAGGTTTGTCTTTAAGCCACTTAAAATTTATTATTCCAAACTTTTTTGCTGACGAAGAATGTGCTGAAGAAAACGAATGCCCTGATGAAACTCAAACACAATTAGAACTGGTTTTGTAAACTTGGTTTTCCTGACCGACTTCAGGCAATTGCTATGCTAATTTTTTAGATTGCTTGGGTCAGGTCTTTGTGTATAACTCATGTTTAAGTTGAGGGTGATTTTTTTAGTCAAAAAAGGTCGACTTATACATGAGTAAATATGGTACTTCAGAAAGAATAACTGGGAAACTCACCTCACCAGAACCAATAAATCCTTCCCTACAAATCAAAATTTAAATGTGGAAATATTTAGGTTGATGTAATCTAAATCTTCTTTGATGTCTTTACTTTCCAACATCACCACATCAAGTAATAACAGTGATGTTAATAGAAAAGACCTCCATTTGCTTAACTATTCCAATTTAAAACCTGCCAATGACAAGCACAAAATGGGGAAAATAGTGATACCCAATCAATGAAATAAACACTGTTTTTCCATGGAAAATCTCTTTTACCTAGAAATTACTTCATAAAAATTACCCTCTCTTTAACCAAAAACCTAAATAAACACCAAATCATAGAGCGCAATCAATGAAACAAACTTTCCACCATTTAACACAAGTCTCAACAGGAAAAATCTTGTAGCTGGGAATAACTTGCTGAATATTATCCCTCACTAAATTTCTACCAATAATCAGAATCTGCTGACACTTTCCAGTTGGAAGAATAATTGTGTAAGTTTGAAAAGTACTTTGCACCCTGCTGAAACTTACATGTATATACAATGTTTCTAAAAGTGAACCAAAGCCAAAATGAATTGCATATGAAGAACTTGAAATTACCCCACATCATCACAAGCTTCATTGAGCACTTACCTGGACAGGTCATCTGCAGTCATTCTAAACCAAACAAACATATCAATCAATAAAAAAAAACACAAAAGAATGAGTCTAAGCAATGAGACTTGATTCATGTACATGGCAGCAAGCTACTACAGTCACACTTAAGTATCACAAATATGAGTACAATTGTGTTCTCACCCTCTGTCTCTGCCACCAGAAATCTGGAAAACAAGACTTTGATTAGTAAGAACAGTGACTGGGTCATAGGGCAAAAGACAATCAAGGGCGAGAGTTGAAAACATTAGACCAATCAAACTTGTTACTAGTTCAATAAAATCATCCCCAGGGAATTTCAGTTCCTTTTAAGTGATTCTGAGTTGGAAATCCAGACGAGTATACAATAGTTTAGTTTTCTCTACACCTTCAACTTCACGCAAGCCTTTCCTTTATTTAGGATTTGAACCTTTAGACAGATTCTCTCTACAGAATAAAGGTTTCAAAACCTATTGCCAAGAACAGTTGCCAAGTATTTGAATCTGTTCTGCAACTTGTTGACAAACCTTTGGAAAAAGGCAGATTAAGAGTTTTGTATGGCTCCAATTAAAGAGCACTGATACTTACCAGATCTTCATCAAATGAACCACTCTTTTTCTTGTTGTGCTCTACAGAACAAAAACATGAAACATATGCCTGGATGGGTCTTTCAACAGCCTCATATTCACAATGTGGCAACAGGGCAAGAAATTGGAGAACCCTGCAGGCAAACCTGACTAAAAGCTGTTTTGGGAACAGAAAGGTTTGGTGCCACAGGAGAGGAGGACTATTAGTTTTTGTTTGTTTGGTTTTTTTCGTATAGCTATTTACTTAAAAAATTAAAAAATTACAAAGAAATAAAAACACACACAGGTTTAGTCACTGTGACAAAGTCCAATTTGTAGTAAAAACATTGTTAATTTTTCTTGTGCAATTTGTGCAATAAATAAAGCGAATACTGATGTATTTAAGATATGCAGATTAGTATTTACTTCCCCTGATACATACCTGTGTTTCCAGTGTCTGATTCATTCTCATCATCATTTTCTGGGTTCCAATTTTTCCCCCCAACTACATAACAAAAAAAAAGAATTCCATTGCTCACATACAACTATGGCATATTTGGAAGGTTTTTTTAAGCTGTCTATGGGAAGAGATGCAATCTTTAGATAGCCTAATATATTTTTTAAGGATTTATCTGCCAAATATAATCCTTCCACCCATGGGTTCTAACTCTGAGCCCCTAAATATCATTACAAAATGCCTCCATTTACTCAATAGTTATTCCTTCTCTCATTCACCCTTCCTTCCACCCTTTCTCTCTCCTTTTATTAAATAATTGACCAGTCTGTAGTGTGGAACAAACATTATAAGAAAATGAAGCCTAAAGCAGTTTTAGTTTAAACATTCATCATGTTTCCACTTTGTCATGAAAACTCAATCAATCCAACAATTTCTCTAATTACTATCAAAGCACAAAGAAAAAAGTTATCTTTTGTTTTGATTTATAAGTCCTTGAAATACATGTCACTTACAAGGAGATGGCCCCACTGGTTGACTACTTTTCCTTGGATTATTTGCAAATGACGGTGACCTGCCAGTTTGAGTGGTAGGTTTCTAAAAGAAATAACACAATAAATCACCGCTCATTATTGCAAAATGCTGCAGTTATTATAAAAAATATTTTCAAAGCAGTCATACTTGGACATTGATAGTCTTAGCTGGAACTGAAATAGACATTCAAACAATTTTCCTTAAAATAAAAATAAGTGTTAAATTAATAATTGCATTAACAACTTGCATCTTCATCCTGTTCATCATGCTAACTGGGATAATCATATGATAATCAGATCCTAACTGAAAAAGCAAGGATTATCCATAAATTGGATAGTGCTATACCCCACACCAACAAAATTGAACTTTGAACAAATTTCCTTCACCAGTCAGAGGTTTAAATCTTGCTTTAGACAGTCAACAAATCTTCTGTGAACAATAAACTAGGCTGAACATCTTGTCTACTTCACTCACCCTTTCCCTTTTTTTCTTTGTTCCTGGACATTCCTCAATTGTCTCAAAACAGCTTCCTTTATGTACATTGTATTCACAAGCTAGTAATTGATCAAAGACAAAGGCAGTATTCCATAAAGAGAAACCAAAACTGCATTAAGAGGGTGAATTGGCAATGTTTTTATTAAGAGATTTGTTCTCAAGAGTTTTTTTACTTTTGTTAAGAAAGTTTCCAGGCCCCTTAACTAAACAACAGGGGCATTAGGGGAACTTAATAGCTAAAAGTTAATATCAGTTCATAACTGGCTTCCAAAAATTAATCGAGATGTTTCCCTCTTCCACTCAAGGATTGGAATTTCCATGGCTAAAGGGATTGATCTCTTTCCTTCCTGAGAAACTTTGAAAAAACTATGTTTTGTTAAAACTAGAGGAGGGCTGCGTATACTTTTCTAAACTTGCACTTTGAATCACACAGCATGTAATGAACTGGTGAATCATTGTTATTTTCTTCATCTTCCTCAGTGGAAGATCACATAACTACACATGCTCCCTTATATTTAATTGCATCAGTTCCAATCATTGAACATACTTGAGCACTGGTATCCTTGGTCTCCAGCCCCCCACAGCAGGTAACCACAGTGATTGCAGTAAGTTGGAGTTGTATACTGTGTACTAACAAAGTGGTGCCCTTTCATCTGCCATAATACAGAGTCAGTTATTAATCAAAGAACTCCCTGGGAAAGGCCTCAGAGGAAAAGAGGATTAGGTATGGAAACAATTTTTTTGTTTGTTCAAAAGCTTCCTTTTAGGTCTCCAATTCTGCTAGTACATATCAGCATTTCCCTTATTTAAAAACACTATATCATATTGTTTATAAAGCTGGTAAAAAAAAGCGATAAAAGACCACAACATTAAGCAGAGACCCAATATAAAATTATGTGTTTGAAAGATACTTCTTAAGCTCCATCAAACTTTCAACTATGAAAATGATTTACATAAAGTGAGAGAACTAGTCAGGGAAACTAACTGGAAGTCTACCTGGTAAAATGATGAAAGATAAGAAACAAGGGGTGGAAGTGCATTTCTAGGAAAGAAAATTTAATTATGTCTGAAACAATGAAAGTTGTGCCTAGCAGCATGCATTTTGCTTTAACTTTAGGGGTTCTCTTTTTATTCATTATTTTTTCTTTTCAAGACATACTTGTTTCAGTCTGAACATAAAAAATACAACAAAAATGACTGAAACAGTAAAAGCAGTACATTAGGTTTATGCTGTAGTAAGGATATATTATCTTTCTTTAGGCTCAGAAGATTACATGTATGTGATCCCAAACTCTAAGAGACCAAACCCCTCTGTTTTTCGGCAAAAACCAAGTGACCAATCTGCCCCCTACCATTAGTTATTCAATACAACTTTCACAATTAAAAGATCAGTCTGGTCACGAGGAGAGTTACCTTAGAGAGGCTGAAGACAGTGATAGCTTAACTTCTAGAATTGCTTTACACTGCTTGTTTATATTCCACACAACACTAAATTATAATTGCCAAAGAAGGCGACAAATCCCTAAATAAATAATTCTTACCTTTTTATTTGATTTCATCTTGAATAATGGTTTGTTCTCTTTTCGAGTAAAGCTTTGATATCGTTCTAGAATGTTTGCATTGTTTCCTTGTTGCTGCAAAACCAACCAAAATTAAAATGTACCCTTAGAAAGTAAAAAAAAAAAATTATAAGCTGCTACACTAAGCCAGATGCAGGAAGACTGTACTGAAGTAAACCTAAAACAAGACTTAACAAAATGCAAGATTGTCAAGGAGTTTCAACTTGAAAGGCAAAATGGTTAGAGAACCACCCTGCTCCATGTTTTGAAATTCATTCAGTGTTAACATGTTTACAGAAAGTTGAAATGCAGCTAGCACCTCATGATTGAGATGAAAGGTGGTTTGTCAAAGGCATTGCCTCCATAAGAAGGTAAGCAAGTCATATTCCTTGCCTACCACGATATTTACTCACATTGGAAGTATATGAATGAGGGTTGTGGTGCCCTGGGTTTTGAGGGCCATTAATCATATACAAGGAAAATAAATGGCCTCATCCTACCCATGTACCATTTATGTAGTAACCTTACTTTTCACTCAAACAGCAGCTTATTTGACTCATATAACTTAACCAATTGCCTCTCAGAATTTGAAACAACAATAGCCATTTCAAACACAAACCCTCTAGGTTGAATACTACATATTACAACTTGCACTAACCTTCATGGTGATTCCAACCTGTCTTAGAAAGGTGGTAAGGGCTGACACCATTGCATTGCTAAGATTCAAAGGACACACTGATCAGCAAATCATAGAAATTTTTTAACTGTAACCTGTGTATCACTCACATTTTCTTTTATGTTTAAGTTTTTATGTAGTTTCCACAATCCCTCTTATTTATGGGTTAGCGTTGGCATTTCTCTGTTTCTCAAAATCATTTGACACAAAACCATCACAGCTTCCAAAAGTTCACTTACTTCCTGTTTACTTGTGAAGCATCTGTATTTGTCTCCAACTCAGCCCTTGAAAATAATCATAGCTTTTTTAAGTGGGAAACTGATCAACACTTTACAAAAGCTGGATGGATTACCATATTTACTTGTGTAAAAGTTGAACTCATGTATAAGTCGACCCCCCCATTTTCAAGGTCAAAAATCAGATTTTTCATCATTTCTAATCAAATAAGTAGAATTTTGACAGATAGAAATTTCCCAAAAAGTTAATCTCTTATTTCTGATGATGTATTGAAAACATGGGGAATTGAAAAAGTTCAGAGCAAAATGTAATTTCGGGTTGTAGATAAGAGCTGGCAGCCTGTGGAGTAGGCCAACTTCTCTGCAAGGTTTCGTCAGCTACTTTCATTGCTTCAAGAGCCCGTACAGAGATGATGTTTATCAGGTCTAAACTTGGGCTCAATAAAAATGTAACTTTGCCCTGCCTATCTTTTCTGAAAACATAAAAAGACTTCTGACTCAAGGTAAGTTTAAAAACATTCTGCTGGGGACTGTCTTTTTGACAAATCTTGCTGCGGTGGCAGGAAAGCATGAACGATATGACGTTTTGTCTGCCATATTGGATTTCGAGACCCACAACCGTTTACCTTTAAAAAAGCTCCAACTACTTAAAACCTGAAAGAAAACCCTGTAATCATGTGCTATGAAGTTTATTAGCACTTGTTTATATCACCACAATTTAGGCATCCACGGGCCCTTCGATTTACTGGAGAAGTATTTTTACCATATTTTGTGAATCACATTGAAAATGAAATCTTCTTGCATTTAACCAACCTTATTTTAATGTTGAGATTGAAAGGAGATTAGGTAAACTGAAGAAATGCCAAAGAGCTTCAAAGGATCTCATGTAACAAACCAAACTGTGCGAGACAACAGCATTTGCCAAGTCACTAAGCTACAGAAATTGTTTGATGAAAACGAAAGTTCAACACTGCAAACAGCAGCAAAGCTTTTAGAAAAATGTCTGTTCAACATTCTGAAGACACAGTAGAAATCAGTTCCAGTAGCTTTGTGTTAAGCCACTCAAAATTTATTATTTCAAACTTTTTTTAATGACGAAGAAAGTACTGAAAAGTGAACACAATTATAACTGGTTTTTTAAAATCAGTTTTCCTAATGGACTTCAGACAATTGTTATGCTAATTTCTTGGATTGATTGGGTCAGGTCTTTATGTATGACTTGTGTATAAGTCAAAGGTGATTTTTTAGGATGATTTTTTGGTCATGAAAGGTCGACTTATACAAGAATAAATACGGTACATGTAAACCAAGTTCCATGTTGTTGGCCTAGTAACACATGTCACAGATTTATGGGTGCACATCTAGTGTCCCAGTAGGCTAAGTATATTGTCACTTACATTCTGTATAGGATACAAAATAAAGTGATTGAACTTACAGAATCTCATCCAAATGGGGCATCAGAGTTTGCTCTACTACTTGCAGTTCCTTTCCTTTGTCCATGTTGTCATCTGCAGTAAAAAAGAGTAAAAAACATTTTATTATACACAAAATGGTTTGATTTAAACAATGCTTGCTTGTTTGCATCTTCTCTGACCTATGCAAAGAAAATATATAGCAAAACTTGACTTTGTTATCAAATGGTACCTTCCAGTTGGTGGTCTCCAAACAAACTTCCAAGACCAAGAGCTCGTTTATTCCTAAAGTCCTGTAACAATTCTTTTATTTCTGCTTCAGCAAAAGTCCTGTTGAACAACAAAAATAAATATGTATCTTATACAAGATAGCAACATTCCCTTAGAGCCTATATGTTTGACTAAATTGTGTAAAAGCTCCTGCCTTGTGAATATGTATGTCCCCTTCAGAGGGATAAATTTATTCATGGCAAAATTCCCTTTCCATGACTTTCATTAAATCACTACAAACCTAGTGCCTGATTTAATCCCACCATACAACTTAGGGGTGCTGCCTTCTCTAAAGCTATTCTGCTCTTAAGGCTAAAAGCGCTGCCAGCAACAGCATTGTGCAAGGGTAATGCAAACTAAATACTGCAAATTTCTGTTTTTGTCCTAATAATCTTTCGTCCAAAGTTCTAAAGAAAATTTGATTGGAAGTTTGAGGCCTTTTAAGCAACATTCTGTTTGAACAAAGAGTGATTTGTCATTTCAATTTTCATCATGAAACAAAAATTTGTGGAAGATCAACCAATTTTGCTTTGATTTGACAATGGAAATCTCCAAGTGATCAAGTTTGTTTATCATTCATGTAGTGAACAAGAAATAATTCCAAATGAACTTCCAAACTTTTTTTTCAGTCACCAAGACACAGTATGATAACAACACTTTAAATTTAAGACCAAACACAGGAGACAAGGACAAAACATGAATAAAACATCACGTCCGATTCTGGGCTCAATCTGTGTATGAACACGAAAGTAAATAGAGTAAACGGCCCTAAACATCTTACAGTAATTCTGACCAAGATACATGTATTTGGCTGAAATTATTTCCCAAAGGAATCCAGATATTTTGCACATCAACTTCATTTGTCTGATGTTTAAACAAAGAAACAAAATGGCAAAAAAAGCTTAAACCATCACATCTGATTCAGAGTTCAATCTCTTTACAACAACCAAAGCAAATAGGGATGAACTGCCCCAAACGTCTCACAGCAATTCCAACTAAGAGACAAGTATTGATAGAAATAAACTCTCAAATGGTTGGAATAGTTTTGTACATTAACTTTTCACCAGACAGAGCAGAGAATGTGTCTTGAGCGTTGTCAAATGTTTGCAATTGAGAAATACATTAGTTGTTTATTCAATCTCAATCCCACACAATTAAAAATCGCCCATATCACTTGCTACAGTATGCTCTCCAGATATCACAACACAATGTTTGTTTAGAAAATATTTGTTCTTCACAATTTAAAAAAAATTACCTTCAGAGTGCATAAATTAGCATTAATAAAAGCATATTTGAAGCAGACGCAAAGAAAAGTGTGTGAAACAAAGGTTGCAAAATACTTTGACTTTCACAACAAAACACTGAATAATTAGTGAGAGGCGGCTGAAAATAACAAATTGGGAAAGCGTCACTTCTATTCTTTCATTCAATCTCGGTCCCACACAATTAGAAATCACCCATATTGCTGGTTGCAGTATGCTTTCCAGATATTACAACACAGTGTTTGTTTAGAAAATATTTATTCTTCACAATTAAAAAAATTATCTTCAGAGTGCATAAATTAACATTAATAAAAGCATATTTGAAGCAGACACAAAGAAAAGTGTGTGAAACAAAGGTTGTGAAATACTTACACTTTCACAACAAAACACTGAATAATTAATAAGGCAGCTGACAATATCAAATTGGGAAAGCACCACTTCTATTCTTTTGGTTACATTGGCCTATTTTTGTGTAATTTCTGGCATATCTTGCCAATACTGATTTTGCATTGTTCTCACATCCACACAACATCTTCCATGCCCCAGCAGTGATATGTAAATCTGCCATGGAACCATTAAAATGCAACTCTGTAATGATGTGCGTGATAAGGGAAAAGCTTACAAGTAACCCTAATGTTTCAATGACTTCAGTATTTCAGGTGTGTGGAGGCCTTGCTTATGGAGGACCTCAATTTTATTTTTTTAAATAATTTGACTACCAAAAGTAGAGTACTTAAATAATTATTATCCTAAATGCATCGACACAACTGGTACACTGAGCATTGCCGATTGTAAACAACATAAGTCGCACAGAGACTGGAATCATTGTGGAAAATCCCATGCAAGTTTTACATGAAGTAGTTTACTCTTTTCATTTTCATTTAATGCAAGTTACCATTAGAGAACCAGAAGAGCAAATTTCCATTCAAACTGTGAAGCTTCTGGTTGTTTATCATTCATTAACAAAGACACAAACACATAGAGAAATTTGTAGCTCAGACTCATGGGCGAACAATTCAGTCCATGGAATTGATTTCAACATTTTTCTCTCCTGCATTACACAGCAACAAACTACAAATTCAACCAAATCTTTTAGAGAAGACTGAACAATAACAACAAATTTTCGTTACAAAGATTCACCCCGAAGCACAAAATTAATTTTCCCTCAAAATTTTCGAGGTGCATTAATGCCTTCAAGGAATATCTCCCCAAAAGTTCAAGCCGTTCAAATCAATACATGGCTCAAGAATTCGTCAGAAAGCTGGGAATTTCATCAAATTTCATCAGCAGGTGTTTGCATTACTTTTGCAAAATGAAGTATAATACTAGTTTTGAAGTGAAATTTACCTTGCATGTTGAAACAAGTCTTTGGTGATTTCTTCTGACCTGAGACAACTCACTGAAACATGATTTTGCAATGTACCAGTTATTGTATAAAAAATTAACCAATGTTGCCTATGAAAATTACAATTGTTGTTTATGTTAGCCTAGAAAAATAGAATAACAGTGCACAATAAAAAAAGGGGAGGATATAACTTACCAATTGGTTCAATGACTGTCTCTTTATCCATGTTATCAACCTTCAGAGGCTAGAATAAGTAAATTAAATCAAATTTTAAATTAGTGTTCTCATTGGATCAAACAATATTGACAGCAACTATAAGTGTACTAAGGGCATAGAATTTAAAGAGAGAGGTCAAACTCTACATACTGCTCGCTCATCCAGGAAAGTAGAATAAATCTCATATGCCCATTTCTTCATTTCTTTTACAGTTCCTTCTCTGTAGGTATCTGTGACCATCCAAAAGAACTAAACAAGAAAAAAAATCCTCCTTTAATGGAAAAATCCTTAGGTCTATACATCTTAAGAAACATCTTAACTTGTTATCCATTGCCAAATGGAAGACCTTTTGATGTGCATTTGAGGACACAGGAAGCCGTTTATGTCAGCAAGTTTAGCTGTTAAAACTGAATATAATGAAAACTAGTGCATGATAAATATGCCAACATGATGACAATAATACATGTTGCTCTTTTTTGAGACATGTTTAGCCATCGCAAAGCTCAATATCAAAAGATATCAATGACCACCAATGAGCACAAGCACATAATGCATAACCCTGTGATGGAGCCTTGAAATGTCAGCACTTACCAAACTACTTGGATCACAATTTGAGATAAGGTAGTGAAGGAAAACTGCCATATGAGCTGTAATTAAAGAGGCAAAGCCAAGTTTAAGATGACCCAAATCATCTGCATCAAATCATGTACAGTAGTCTCATTACTGAAATATTTTAAGAGGAACAGTTAAATTTTGCAAACTCCTCTAGAAAGGGGTCATGTTCATGAGAACACCACTACTACTTTACAACATTCTGTCTTTGCCTCCCCTTGACATAATAAAATATACAAAAGATATAACCCTCCCCTACAATATAGAGTTCCCATTCAACAGTGAGTGAATGAGAAACCTCAAGTCTCTTCACATTTAAGTGAAGTACAAACTTATTTAGGTTTGTAGGCACCAAAAAAAAAGGAGCAAAGCTACTCCTCCTGGGAAGAAATAAAATTCATCTCTGATTTGATGTCTTCATCAAAAACTAACTATAACAGAAGTATTTCCATAGAGTTGCAAGTTTTAACATCAAGAGTTAACCATATCACACATGCAACTTTCTAAAGCCTTGTACCAAATCTGAGGCTCCCGCCACAAGTAAACTTCATTTTCTTGTCAAGAAGTGGTCTTTATTACCCCCAATTCCCGTGATAAGGTTCTCCTTTTTAGGCTTTTTATACCTGCTTTATTTTTAAGTACTTCTAGATCATTGAATGGTCCATGGTCATCTATCTGTTAATAAAAAAAATTGGTTTTAGAATCTCTAGCAAAAATTCAAGACTTTGAAACAGCACTTGGCAACTGGTTCATTTTCACCCAAAATAAAAAAAAGGTTAGTGGGTAATTTCAAAGCTAGAACATTAGACCTATACAAATGCAACCTAATATTCATTGAAGTTTGCCACTCACACAAAATGATTTGTTACTTATACATAGGCACCATAAAGAAATTCCCTCATTAATGACAGAAAGCTATATTTTTGTGTTATGAACCCTCAACACTGACAAGTATGAAAATTCAATATCTATTGGGTCAGTCATCAACATTATCTTAGTTTGCTCTAAATGTTAGAGGTAAAGAGACAAGTACTGGATTGATACTCTTTTCCATGATTTTATATGGTATAAAACATTTTGAAGGTTACTTTGATAGATATTGGAATAAGTTAAATGAAGAGAAGGCAATTTGTTTAGTAATGAAATTTATACAAAACTTTCAGATCCTCTCAATCTCACCTTCTCATCATCTGAGGCAAACTCTTCATCTTCCATTGACATGATTGGATCATTCTGAGAGTCATTACCCTTGCTGATTTCAATGGTGTTATATGATGATTCTTCATCTTCATCAATGTATATATCAGCAGCATCATTGCGTAATTTCTTCTCTAATGGTTCTGTTAACGTTGGTGTTGGTGGTGGTGAGCTGTTGCCACTGCTACTGCTTTTACTGCTGACATTGTCCATAAGTATACCTTTGTTATCCTGACCGATTGGCTTCCATGCTTTTGGAAGGGATGCAGTCTACACAGAATGAGTGAGTAACAAGATTCAAGTTAAATAAAATTAATGTGTGTATGTTTCAAGGAGTTTTTTTCAGTTATTTTGCTCTCAAGTTTGAACTTTTCTACAGTAACTACTACCTTGGACAAGTTAAGTTGTAGTTTTCAGTCATTCCCACCATAAAAATAACACTTAGGTCACAAAACTTAAGTATAGCACTTTTTGCATTGGGAAAATTCATCAAAATAATGAAAGCTTCTTTGCCACAGACAAACAAGGAAAATATTTTTTCAAAAACAGGTGCACCCCCTTTGAAAGGATAGAGATTAAACTGACTTACAAGTCACTTCAACACTAACACACATCAAGTGAACAGCACTCTGTTCAAAAGCAAGGACACCTTAGAGTGTACATTTTCCCAAGGAAGATCACATTTGAAAATATTAGTCTTAAACTCAAAAAGTGAAAAATCAACAAAAAAGTCAGAGCAACTTCAAAGAAAACTCCCTTTACCAGAGGATTTTTGTGTGCCTTGGCAGCTGGATAACCAGGCTTCCATGACAGTCCAGATCCATCATCGAAACTCTTTTTCTTGTTATTATTTCTTACAGGCAAAGATTTTTCAGAGGAGCTGCCATTCATAGCGGGACGAAAGAAAGATTCTGGACTGGAGTGTTGTCTCACATGAGTTGGACCATCAGTAAGCTGTATAATATAGGAGAGTTTTTAAGCAAAGCCAAGTACACTGTACTTAAACAAGTGTGAGACAGCTGCTGTTATTTTCAAGAATGGTTTAGTAATTAGCAAGGGTTAAAAAAATACTTACTGAAACCTTCTTATGCCTTTTTTTTCCAGGATAAGTACCTGAACCTATACCACTAAGAGGCTACAGATTAATGCAACAGTATTGTTAGAAGGTCATGTTAACAAGTTAGTTCTAGGGAGTCATCATCACGCTTATATAGAGCTCAACCATCACTGCCATTACAGTTTACTCAAAATCCTAATAAAAAATTTCTTTATAACTAAATCAAGGGAAAATCAGACAGGATTTCATTCCAGTGAAAACCCTCAATATCCAGATTCTTATCAGCAGAAGACAGAGGCTCCCACCTCAAACTCACACAACTCAAACCAACTTTTGCTGACACCAAACTATTCTGGAGTCTACTGTTTGTAATAGTAATGTACAATATAATACTAAATGCTCAATGTAACACATTGAACATGCTATTAGAACAAACCTTGTAAATCAAGCTGATGTGTCACTTTCTTTTCTAGCCAATTTAATATGCTAAGTAAAAGCATACCCCTTAAACAAACTTAGCAGCATGTTCCCACCTTCCCTCATTTCCTGAGAAAGGGCATGTAAATAAAAATAATAAATAAACCATCACTAAAAGGTTAAAGATACCATACCATAAATTGGTCCCCTTTCTGAGGGATCTTTCTCATGGGAGGCTGAGGTGGAGAAGAAGGAACTTCTCTACTGTCACTGATGCCAGCTGAAATAACAGCTGGTGGATAGTTATCATACAGTGCATTTGGATCATGATCTGGAGGAGGACTGGTGTTGTCCGCTGATGGTACTGAATTACACCTGGCTGGAAATCGGTTTACTTGCTGCCAGGTTGGAGAGACTGTTTTACCAGGAGGAGCGGAAAAGGGTCCATTCTTACTTGATACAGGCAGTCGCTAAAGAAAACAACATGTACATTCTCACACTGCATTTCAGTAAACTTTCATTCTTCAAGAAAGGTAGTATAATCACTCATACTTATTGACAGCATGGGAGGGTCAAACAGGAAATATTTAGCTTTCACTCATAATGTACAGACCAAGGGTAGTGGGGTCTGTGCACCATGCCCAAAAACCAAACATTTTCCTGTCCTGACCAACCTAACTCAGTCAACAAACATTTTATAACATGAAAGTCTCCTTCCTATTTTTCTTCCTTTCTTGTTTAAGCTCATGTCATGCATGGCCTATAAGCTTTTCTTAGCCTTGCTTGCTCCATTGCATACACACAACCATATGGGTCTTGTGATCAAACTAATTACAATCCACCCCTGTGGTACAAAAATCTTATCTAGACAAATGGACGAGGATGCAAACAAGAACATGGTCAACCATAGGAAGTAACCAATGGGATGTGAGGAACAAAACCAAATAATAGCAGGTACAGTTTATGCAATAAGGCTTGTTCCTTACTGTTGCAAGATTAGAATTGTTTTTACATGTTTTTACCGTTTTTGACCTTCTTGCTACTTTTCCACATTTTTAGTATGAACATAAGATAGGAAATTTTTATCTTGTGAGGACATAATGACTACTAATACTACTACCACTACTACTTAACATACTCTTTGTGGTTACTGAGGGGATTAGCAGTCCAACCAATCCATGTGGAGAACTTTGAAAGAGAGCAGAATGATGAAAGCCACTTGAATATAATTTTACTTTCCCTAGGCCACCACTGCTTCCTAGTGTTTATTCTTTTCCCCATTTTTCTAAATACTTTCCACAGTTATGCCATCATTTCAATCTTCTAAAGTAAAAATAAATAAACCATCAAAAACCTGTGCATGGAGCTCTGCCTCAAAAGCTTTGATCCGCGTTGTTGATTCTGCAAGCTAAAAAGGGAATAACAAAAAATTTAGTAAGACACTAGGAAAATCAATCATTACAAGATCATTGCCTCTAGGTACATGTAGAAGTGAGAGACCCACCCCTTGACTTCAAAGCAGGCTTTTAGCCAGGTAGACAGTCACTTTTTAGGAGAAAATAAATAAATAAAAGCAGATCTTGTTGATTTTGATTCATTTCATAATTGTTTGATTGTGGGAAAACTTCAGACACTGTCTCACCATCATCTAACTTCTACTTCAGCTATCTATAGTTCTTTCACTGTCAAAAATTGGACACCATTTTCCATTAATATGTATTTAGAGCATGACAAACATTATGGAACCAATTTCGTGGAAAGCAAATGTTTTTTCATTCCAAGTCTCTACCTTTCCCCAAAATGGCCAACAAGAGCAACATCAACCAAACTTTGGAATAAATGACAGGCATGGAAGTGCTTAATGCGACTGAGGCATTAAGTATGGGCAGAAGCAGGTCAAATTTAAATCAATTTTAGGTTGTTGACAAAAAAAGATGACACATTTTATGAATTGTCAATCAATAGAATTATTGGCTGAAAATCCCAGACAATGCACCCAAGACACTTCCAATTTTCAAAATTTTCTGAGGGAGCATACCCCCAGGCCCCCTTGGCAGAATGGGACCTTTGACCTTCAGCCACATATCACTTGTGAATGGACACTTTTCGAATCCTGGCTAAAAGCTGTGGAAGGCAGCTCTTCCAAATATTACATACCTCTCTTTGAAGGTTTTCTGTTGGTCTCCTTGTATACTCATCCAATGTTTTCTTCAAAGGAAACATTGATAAAAAGTCAGGTAATGAGCAACTTTACAAGTGTAAGAAATTAAAGACAGTATGAGCTTATGAGTATGATTCAAGAAATTTCACAGTTACCCTGTAAAACTGCTTCTCTTGGTCAAGCACTCTTTGAATGGTCACTGTTCTCTCATCCATGACTGGGTCTCTAGGCACCTGCTTTTGGCAGAGTACAATCACAAATTAATGTATTTACAGACAAAGTAGAGTGCCATTTAGATGTAACTTTGTCTCTTTGAAACTAGATTCTTGATCCTCAGTTTTTTTGAAATGTTCAAGGATCCTGCTTTAAGTCAAGTTTGAAGATATTAAAGGACGATCAAATGATTAAGAGGGGTTCCTGAGTAACATTTGCAGTGATACTCAGTTTTGTCCAAGGCAACATCATCGCCATCTGATAGTGATACAAACTCCTTGATATCTTTCATATATCAGAGCCTTTTTTGTTTGTCTTCAAAGCAACAACTTGACTCAAAACAAACATTAAGCACTGAGGCAAATGTAAAACAACCCAAACTTTCCCTGCATGTATTAGTATCTTTTTTAATCACCAACTATGGTGATGGAACAAAATTAACAGTTAACTTACTGGCAATTGTGGTGGTCTCTCATGCTGTCTGTCAGCTGGAAAACAAGAAATGGTAAAAAAATCTATATTAGTAATACCCAAATGTACACACAAGTGCACCACATACTTGCACATACACAAATTTTCTTATAGCAGTAGGAAAACCAAATGTGGAGAATATTATTTAAAACTATCAACTGTCCAAAAACTTCTAGATAAGCCAATGACCGGTACAGGATCAGCAATCCAAATTTGTGTCTTCTATGTGTATTTTTCAGGACTCAAAAAGTACCGGAAAGCAAGAAGAGGTAGCACTTGCTATTTCAGTGATTCACATTAGAACAAAATTTTGCCTCACCCCAAACTAGAGGAGACTGTTATTTACCTTTATGCAGTAAACATTACCATACCTTGAGCATGTGAGGGTGGTTTTCCTAGGAGGGTCAGTGCCACATAGGAACCAGCTAAAATGACACAGAGCATCTTTAGATGTAATTTCTAAAGAAAAGATGGATTTTTCCATTGCTGGACCTACTTCTATTTTAGCATGTGGTTTTCAATCCAAAATTTCAAGGCATAGTAAGTATCATGAGAATAAAACAGGTCTTTAAGACGAGTACTGTTACCTTAGCTGAATGGGATACTTATTCACAACCAGTAAAAACCCATTACACCGACTGATAATCACCTCTCCATGCCCAGGGGTTCAAAGAGCCTTGCCCTGCTCACCCAAGGGTGGTGTAGAGGTGTGCTCTCCCAGAAAATGATAAATTTTTTCAGTAAACTAACAATTAAGTAAACTAAGATGCTTCTGGTGCAAAAAAAGCTCTCATTCCCTTCAAAAAATTTAATCATGAATTTATGCCTTGATTGACAGAAAAATTAGTTTCCAAATGTAAGTGCATAATCTTTTACCTTTTAGATCTCTACATTTTCCTAGTTCAGATACATTTTATCTTTGAGAAGATACATGAGGAAAATATAGGGTAGTGACTAATTCTTCAATCTTCTAAGTTGAGATTTTGAAAGCAGCTGGACAAAGTTGTCTTCCCAGCCCCTAAATTTGGCTAGTGCCTGGCTCCTCATGAAACCCTTGCATGCCAGTTTGTCAGGGTCAATTAATATTCCTCGTAAGAGAAGAGGCAAAAAACTGAACTACCACAGTTCAATTCAATACTTTATACTCAAAGCAGCTTGCCAGAAAGATTTAGTAGCATAATGAATTCAAGAAGAAAACAAACCAAACTGGCACAATGCATGTCAAACAGTACTTACATTTAATCAAGTTGACAACTTCAATGTGATTGAACTCTCTGACATCAGTTCCATTCACCTTGAGGGTAGAAAACAAATAAATTCCAGTTTACTATACAAGAGATGTAATGTGAACTCTTCTTGCATACAATAAAGCAACTTAAGATCTAACCTATGTGTTTTATAGTTTGTTCAGTGTACAAATAAAACATCTTTCTAAGCATAAACATTTCTTCTTGAACAGGCTAAGGCAGATACTGAACCCTGCTCTGTCTTGTAACACTTCAAATGGTGTATGGTAACCTTAACAAAGCTGTCCTTCTATAATAACTATGAGTTGTGTGAGGGCTGTTGTGTCAGAAGCATGTTGTAAACAGTGCCCTATGTTGTAAGGCAGATACTGAACCCTGCTCTGTCTCGTGACACTTCAAAAGGAGTATGGTAACCTTAACAAAGCTGTCCTTTTATAATAACTACGAGTTGCATGCAGGCTGTTGTATCAGAAGTATGTTGTAAACAGTTCCTACATGCTTTCATGAAAGGTAGGACAAACGAGTAGCCCCCAGGCAACAGTTGCCCACGGTACCTGAGCTCTGCTGGAGCACAGTCCTGTACATGTATAATAAGAAATAACTAAGAATTGTATTCAGAAAGAAAAGGATCTTTCTCGATCATTGCCTCTGCAATTTTTATCTTGTTTGCTAATTAGTATACAAATATATTTTTCCTGAACCTTGACAATCTTGTCACCAACTTGCACACCTGTGCGGTGAGCTGCTCCACCTGATAAAAAAAGACCGGTTGTCATTATATTATAACAGAAAGGAGCTACACTTTAACCACCATTGATAAAAAAGTACCGGTTGTATATATATATATATATATATATATATATATATATATATATATATATATATATATATCATTATATTATAACAGAAAGGAGCTACACTTTAACCTTGTACCATTTACTCACTCAGCAGCACCAGTAGTACCTTGAATTGCTCAATGCTTAAGCTATATATATATATATATATATACACATACATACATAAGTTAAAGAATTAAAGGGGACGCATCGATTCTCTGTGACTCTGAGTTTCGCGCCTAAGCACTCGTCAGACAGAATTTAACTTATGTATACTTAGCTCTGCTACCACAGCATTGAGCACTTTATACCAAGGTAAACTCTACCCCCACATTCATATATATATATATATATATATATATATATATATATATATATATTATACAGAATTATCATAATAAAGAAGTTGTTTCTGAATAATAATCAACACAAATTGAATCATAATATTTAAGAGATTTACTAAGGAAAAAGAAAACAATTCCTGCTGATATGAATTGAAAGTTACTGCAGTGATACAGGCACACACCTTCCTTCACAGACTGCACATAAACTGGATTGTCCCCTGTGACAGTCAGTCCATAGCCTTTTTCATCACGTTGGATAATAACACAGTGTTGGATCAAGTGTTGACCTAAAAGGCAGAAAAAAATTAAATTACTGTTGTTTCAATGTTTGATTACCTAGTTACCTCCAGTTGCCATTGAATTCATGGCTAATATTCCTTTAATTATTTTACTTATTCACCACAAAAACTGAAAACAAACATCAAAATGCAATTTGTGTGATTTGTTTCATCATTAGATGTCCAACACTTCATAAGACATAGCCTAAGGAAAATGAAAAGTTTTCTTATGACAAAAAATTCCTTTAGATTTATATATATGTATAGGTGCATTGACACCTTTCTTTTAAGACTACAAATAAAAAGATAAGGTATCATTCAGCATAATCAACTCAATTATACCTTACAAAGCATCCCCACTATGAACTACAATGATGAGTAGTCTAGCTAAACAATAACTTCATTTAAAATACAAGAGAGGGGAAAAGGATCATATAGATTTAGAATTATTGACAAACTAAGTTCCATAGTAGTTTGACAAACACTCTAATTCAACACTTCAATTCTATTAACCAGTATACACAGGAAATTACTATGGCAAGCTAAATGAGCCCAGCAGTCCTGGGTAAAAATTGATTCTTGAAAAAAGAGAGAACCATCCATTGATGCATTTCCTCAAAGCTTACAAAATATTTTCATCCCCCCTATACTTTGTCTTCCCCACTAAGAGTTTATATCACAAAGTCAATTTTAGACAGCCATAGAATGATCCTAACTACACACTTACACAGAGCTTCTGGAGTGTTCTCCTATTTATCTCTTGCAATACCCCCAGACCCTCCCATAATACTTTAATATTGGACTTACTGTAGATACAAATGGGGTACAAGTTCTATCACTTACTTTTAAAATTGCACATGACCCTGGTGGACTGACCCACCTAACAGTCTTAAAAATAATGGCTGTTACATGTTTGTCCACCAAAGATCTTTATCAAAGATGAATTGCCCACATACTTAAAGTCAGGGGGAGATCAAAACCAATTTAGCATTACTTTAAACAAAGATAACAATTCATCGACTGTGGAAAAAAGAAAACAACTTCATAAATCACAGAAGTCTCCCTGACCAAATAATCTCAATATTTTCATTAGTTCCCTTTATTCAAACTTGTGTTCCAGTTGACAAATAACAATAATTCTACTTAGGTTGTCCCAAATACATCTTTGTTTGCAGATGCTTGTACACATGAAAAGAGATCATCAGAATCTGCTGCCCATGCTTCACTGCTCTGCTTTGTTTCTTTATTACTTGTGAGCTTCCTAATCATGCGATAAATTGATTGAGGGAAGAACACATTTTCAAGAAATCTCATTCCAAGTTTTCACACTAATGCCTCAAAATTCTGGCATAAAATAAGCAGTTACAAGGTGCCATCAACCATCCAATCAGAGAAACTAAAAGATTAATAGCCGGGTTTGAAAGCAAACTACCAACATAAATTCATATTAATACTTAAACAAGTCAGGTGATTAAACTTTCAAAAATCAACAAAGTGACATCAACTGTGTAAATACTGTATACTAAAATGTGTTTCAGGATCATATTAACCTGCCATTACCATGGAAACACAAAGAACAAGAATTCCTATTTTCCACCAAATCCCTTTCATATTCCCACTCTCATGCAATGACTACAGTTATTTAAATTCTTATAAGAGATGAAGTTATCACTTGTATTTCCCTAGAATCAACCGATAAAGTAAATAATCTAGTAAAGAAAAAGTCGTTCTGATACTAACAGCTGCGGACAGATGAATTTTACATCGATCACGTTCAATGAGCAGTGAAATGAGCAATCCGAAGACGATCGTTAAATTCCTTCCAAAGGCAAAACTAGGTGTTAAAAACACTTACTGATACCATAAGTGTTCATTGTATTCCTCCAAATAACCACTTTGCCAATTATTAGGAGGCAACATATTCAAAAATTGATAGCAATGCGTCTGTTCGGACATGATATAATTCGAAATGAGCAAACGAACCGAAAACATAAAGTAAATATTCTTTGACCGATGACAGGTACGTTGTTATGGAACTGTGAAGGGGATTTGAAACAAATTTATGCGAACCTTTTACAGCGGCGTAAAATGTTTGTCTGAATAGTTACTTGTACTATGGAGGATAATATCGACGGTAGTTTGAACAGAAAGCAGCTAGTAATGATGTGAGGTATTGAAAAACTATTGAAGGTTATTAAGAAAAGCCGAATAGAACGTGAAAAAAAAAAACAGTGACGATAATCCTTGTCATGGGAGACCGTCTGAAAAATTGATGAATTGAATGACTATCTGTTTAGCCGAACATTACTTCACATAGAGAAAGTGTGTTGATCACGATACAAAAAGACTACTTCTACGACGAAATGTAACTCACCCTCTTCGTTTTCGGCGAGGTCCATCATAAGCACCAAAGTCAGCCTCGACGGTAGGTCACCCTACAAAGCGAAACACAAATGCTCAATGATATATAAAATGGCTATAAATATAACCAGCACTGATTAAAACTTCACTCACAAGCCACTGAAAAAGTTCGTGGAGACGAGAGAGCAAAACAGACCTAACATTACATATGATCTAGAAATTCCAAACCCTGCATGCTATTCAGCTTTTAACACAAGTGGATACGTATATTTTTGAAATTCTATTTCATTCGAGCTGTGTTCGTACATGGAATGCTGTTCACCCGCAACACGAGAAAGGCCCGCTCATGCCTAAAAATTATTTCCTTCTCCACAATCTAAGGTAACTTGTATGTACATGAAATGCTCTCGCACTGTATCAACCACTATTAGTAAAAAATAAACCGGCACCGAACCTTGCTGCACAGTCAGCTTGAAGCGATAAACAACGAAATAAATGGCAATCATTCTTTCACAGCCAATGCATCGATCGAGTGCGTAAAAGATCTCACAAAGTAATGCAAATTTTCCTCTGCGTTCCGCCAATGGATGGTGAAAAAAAAAGTAAACCTCCGTCGAACACTTGAATTCCTTGAATGTCCAACCTTTACTGTTTAAACGTAAGATCTCTGTATCCGGAGGAAATCTGTCTCGTTTCGAAATAATAATAGCGCCTTCAGACCGAACAATGTCCTCGAACTCTTTCTGAGAAGAGGACGATTCGGTCCTGTTCACTCTGGCGTAATATGCGGTCGAGAAAAAATGATAGAGCAAAACAAATCTCCTAATTTTCCAGCCCTCTTGCAACAACCAATATGGCGCTCGGATATTGTCGAGCAAAGTGCCCCTGACAAACACAAAGCAACAGAGACGCCCCGCAGGTCCCGTTTCTTTGAGACCCGTAAGTAAATCCAAAGCTCGATATCCCGAGCCACATCAAACGAAAAGTGAAGAGAGCGAGGGTAAAGGGAGGGTTATGAGAAGCGTCCATTTTTATAGTTAAAATGCCGGCTGTTTTTTAATATAAATACCAGTTTCTCGTTTTCCAAAGTTGCTGCGTATTTTAAAGGAAGCGTCGAAATTTCATTTGATAACCTTTCTCTTTTTTCTGCGCATTTTTTTTTTTGTTTATCATAGACGCAAATTGGAAATTTTTATTGAAGCTTACAACATCTTACGAGCCCGCCTAAATTCCCGCCTTCATACCACTTGTAAGAAAAAAGCAATGTGAAATCCGGAGGTATCTAAATTTCCTTTTTTTTGATACATGAGTCACAAGGAACTTCCATATTAAGAAGCTACGAAAAGTTTGTTTTTGTGTCAGTTTTACCGAGTGGTGTTCGAATCTAGCACAGAGTAGTCATTTTTTAGCCAGGAACATCATTGTCTCTTGTGTCTCCTTGGTCAAGACTAAACTCCCTTCTAGAGAACTAACCACCGATTTGCAGCCTTTTATTTTTCAACCCAATCGACCAAAACCGAATTCTACCTATTTTAGGGCCTGTTTACATGGAGGTGGGGGACCCCAGGTAGGTGAGGTAACCCGCCTGTCCATATAATTTCTTATTTTTTCTCGATCACGTTTACATGATAAGTGGGTTGACCCGCCTAGGCGGGTTGCCCGGTCTGCCAGGTAGGGTAACCCTGTCAGCCGGGGTGACAATTTGCCATGTAAACGTCTCAAAGTGGGGTAACCCGCCTACCCGGGGTTGCCTTCATGGCAAAAAGCTCACAAGCGAAACACGTATGTTTTAAAACTTTGTACATTTCCTAGCCGTCTCATGGCAGAAATCACCAGAAACCACAACGGACACACAAGGAATGTAAAATGTTCACATTTCGGAATATTTAGCGTTGTAAAATCGACCTTATTTCAAACTATTTCTTATGACGTATTAAGTCGATGGTTCCTCGCGTAACACATAAATACATACGTGTCCAAGAATTAATCTTTCGTCTTTCTCGAGACGTGAGCTTGGGACGCCTATGCTCAAACTCCCTAATCGCAAGCGTAACAACAACCTCAAGAAACCTCACCCCTGCACCCCGGGGTCGTAAGATTGTATGTTAAAGTGTTTTATTTTTCGACCACGGCTAAGCGGGTTACCTCACCTACCTGGGGTCCCCCACTTCCATGTAAACAGGCCCTTATCCTTTGAAATGATTGGGAAACTTCTCAAAATTGATTCTGTTATTTGACCTGCTAAGAGAGACACTCATAAGCATAAGCTTATACCTCAGAAGTAACTTGGAAAAAAAACAAAACAACAAACATCCTAGTTACATTGAGGAAATTGTGTTTTGGAATGTTGCCAGGATACGAAATGTTTTCTCCTCACAACTTTACCTTGTATACGTAATGTCGTCATATTTAAATGACGCATAAAATTTTCTTTCACCCAATCGGTGCATCACTAGACTAGAAATCTCAAGTCTAAGGCGGGTGTGATAAACAGTCCTATAGCAAATACATCGAGATATTACTTTTTTGAAAAATAAATTAGCAAGGCTGTCTAGATAGGCTTGTCTTGGACAAAGAAATGCCGTAATATTCGACATCTTAATGAACTTTCATTCCTTTTCATATTCTTTACGAACAGTTTCCCTTGCA